TTGATACACAAATAAGATTTTTTAAACTCTTATTTATTTCCGAAATACGCTATATTTTTTTAATTCTGAAACCCCTTTCTATTATAAATTACTATTATAAATTTGTATCGTGTTATTCCTTTGAAAATGTTGCAAGCTTAATTCAACTTTTCTTTTTGAGATTGAATTGTTTTAATGCTAGGATTTTAATATGATTAATTAGGGTTTGGGTCAAAATCCCGACAAAAAAATCTCGATAATCAAAAAAAGTGTTCATTTGAGCAATTTTACTATACCCGGATGTCCCAAAAGTTTTTATACACGGTCCCTTTTTTTTAAAGTGACCTTATATATAGAGATCACGTTGATTATTTATGCAATTCTTAAAAAAAAAAAAAGGGATCATGTAGAGGACATCATAATCTCAGAAGTGGCAGCTGCTTTTAGATGTTTTGCAGAAGTCTTAATTAAAAAAATTTGTTTGTATTGAGAGGTTGTAATGATTTTTTGAGGTCAGAAGATTGGTTTTGAGGTTTTGGAGGTCTGAAAAGAAATGTGTTAGAGATTGTTGGCTTGATAATTTTGTAATGATCAATAATAAGCTATTTAGCTTGAGGATGTAGTGCTTATTATATTGGATACGGATTTGAGAGAATGTTTGTTTAGGATTTTTGAGAATGCTAAAATAAGACATTACTCTACTGATAAAGGTAGGGTCTGTAGTTTGTTTAAGAAGTTTGCTAATAGATTCATTTTGTAATAGGTTATAGATTTTATCATTTTTGGCAACTTATTCAAGGTATTTGTTAAAATAGGTAAAGAAGTAGAATGTATTGTAGTGGATATCAGAGGTGGTATTATTTTTTTCATTATAAAAGTTTCTGCTTCATTAGCTAGTTTTGAGAAAATTTGTGTGGGAAAGGGAATAGAGAAGGTCGCAAGGCAGGATTTTTCTTTGTCAAAATAAGTAAAGTTAAAAGTAGATTAAATTTTGGGTGTTGATTATATAGATGTATCCGGAGAAGAGGGAGGAGCAGGGTAAGATTGAAGTGATTCTATGTAGAAATATTGATAAATATTTTTTGTAGATATGTTGATTTAACAAATTGGAGGTGTCAGAGTCTTGTGAAGTAAGATAGATTTTGCATAGATATTCATCATTGTTTTGGCATGTGTGAATATGGTGAAGTGTTGCTTTAGTAACAGCTTTACAATGATCTTGTAAAGATGTAATTTCAGGAAATGTATAAGTAGATGGTAAAAGTTTTTGTATTCATCAGCAAGAGTCATAGCAACATTATAACAATGTGATTATATATTTTCTTTTGCAGGTTTTCAGACTTGTTAGAGAACTGGTGAAGGTATAGAGAAATGAAGAAGACAAACCAGGTGCCAAGCTCTTTGGTAAATGGATTAAGGAATGGAATACAGAAATTTTGAGTGAATTGTTTCTTAGGTATATTAAGGCTGATATTAATATTAAATTTGTTGTCATTTTGGATTTGAAAAAGAGCTTTGTTAGGAGTATCTTTACTAAAAGAATAAAATATTCTAAAGCGAATAGGTTTGATATAGAGATCTTGGATGAATTTCTGAGCATGGGTAGTTTGGTATTTGTTTTGCAGAAAGAGGTGAACTCATGCAAGGTTAAGTGCTACTTGGTTTCTGTTTTGGATGCTGAAAAGGGGAATAGAGCTTAAGGATATAAGAATTTTTTTATAATCACAATGAGTAAAGAGTACAGTGGTAAATTGGAGAAACAAGAATTTAAATGTATTAAGTATAATAGAGAAAGGTTCTGTATATAAAATATATTCTCTTTTATCATCAGAGTGCACTAATACTAGAGCAGTTGTTAGTATTTTCTTCAACTGTTCAAAAGCAGTTTGCTAATTGATATTCCACTTATACTATACTTTAGTCTTTAATAGTTTGTATAAGGATGTGGAAATTCTAGCAAAATCTTTCATAAATCATCAATAAAAACCAGTGAAGCCCAAAAAAACCTTAAAGAGCCCATAAGTTTTTTGGTGACAGAAACTCTTTTACTGCTTTAACTTTCAGTTCCCCAGGTGTTATACCTTGTTCAAATATTTCATGCCTAAAAATGTTATTTTTTGTTGACAGAAATAATATTTTTCTTTATTCAACTGTAAGTTTGCAGCTCTGATTCTTTGGAAAACTTCTTTTACGTAAATTAGATGATCTTTAAATATTGAGGAGAAAATAGTCACATCTTCACTATAAACTAATGTGAATTTCTATAAAATGTCTTGTAAAACTCGATCTATTAATCTTTAAAAGGTTGCTGGTGCATTTGTGAGCCCAAAAGGCATCACGTTAAATTCGTACAGTCTGAATCTGGAGGTAAACGCAGTTTTTTCTTTATCTTGTGGGTGTATTTCTATCTGCCAAAACCCACTTGCTAAGTCAAGTTTAGTATACTAAGCAGATCACTTCAATGCACCTAGTAATTTATTAATTCTAGAGAGAAGATAACTATTCCATTTGGTAACTTTATTTAGTTTCCTAAAGTCTATGCAAAATCTCATTGATCTATTTTTCTTTTTTACTAAAACTATTGGTAAGGCCCATGAACTATATGATCTTCATATAATACCAACCCTTTCTATACACAATATTTTAGTTTTGATAAAATCGTGTTCAGGCTTGGAAGTGGGTAAAATTTCTGCTTGATAGGATATCCTTCTTCAGTAAATATTTTATATTGGATCATAGAAGTCTTCTCTAACCTCCCAGATTCTTCCATAAAAATATCCTTATATTCTGTTAATAAGGTTCTTGCTTGTACTTCTTGTTTATTCGATAATGAACCTATATTAAAGTTTTTCTTTTCTCTTTCTCTACAGATATAAATAGTTTCTATCTCACTATTTTTATTAAAAATGCATTCTTCAGTAATATGCTCTCTCTTCCAATATATTTTAAAATCATGGTTTCTTCTTTGACCTTTCAAAATTCCCTATATAAATAAGTTTTATTTACTAGATTTTTTTGTTTATATTCGTCATCATCTTTATTACTTTCATTATTTTCTGATTCAGATTCTTCTTCTGATATATACTTTTTCTTTTCAGTTCTCTTTTTATTCTGTTTTAAATTCTCTTTTCTTTCACTTCATTCGTTAATGTTTGCTGGCTTGCAATATTCAGTGAGTATTCTTATTTTTTTATTTCCATCACATATCATTAATTCATATTCTTCCCAATCTAACCTAGCTTATGCCTTCTTTATTCAGTTGTTATTAACAATTATAGCATAATTTTCAGCATCTGTTACCACTACACGGAAGGTAATTGTTTTGTCTCCAACTGTTATTAGAAACTCATCTACTTCTCTCAAAGAACATTTCTGTTCTCCATGTACTCCAATTATTACTACTGTTAAGGGATGATCAATTGGTATGTCTAATTCCTTCAAAAAACCTGCCAAGACTACTTATCCTGATGATCTACTATCTAATATTAAAAGAATTGGATGATTTTTGACTCATGCCTTATAGTATATTGATATAGTTTTTACACCCTTATCTTGTTTTTAACAAAATTCTACTATTTTAGTGGTGGTTATACATCTGGCTCTAGTTATCCTAGTTATTTCTTTTCTAATATTTGAAGCAACTTGAAATAGCTGTATATAAGTAATATTAGCTTTTTTATTTTGTAAGTCAGTTATTATAGAATAAGATTGAATATTAGACATTATTAAGGGTTCAACTGGTTTAGTTTTTTTTTTTTTTGCAATCACCTTTTTTGCCAGTTTGTATACATAATCTTCCGTTTCTTCCTGATTTTTTACCGGTGTATCCACTTCCTCAGCTTTACTATCATTTTTCTTTTTTTTTTTCGCAGCATATGCTTTAAATAAAGTTTTTGCTTAGGGGATTTCCATATTCAATACACTTTCACTCTCTTGAAGTACATTCTCTAATTTAAAGATTCTTCGTTGTTCAACAATTAAGCCAATATGGCTTAAGCCCTGGTGATATCTACCATAGGTCGATTATTGTCAGTATTTCTTTTTTTCTCATTTCTTGGTTGTCTATAAACCCCATCTACTTGTGGCTCTAAGTTATTATTATTTAATATGAGGTATTCTGAAACAATATGTTCTGGCTAACAACAATTGAAGCATGTGATTTGCGACCAATTTCCTTGAAATAGTATATTATTCCTGTTTCTGTTTTGGTTTTCTCTTGTTTTATCCTTATTATTCTTTAAGAATATTATTAATTGGGGTCTTTGCCTTGAAAATTACTCTCTGACATTTCTGATCAGGCTAATTAGGATGAAATCAAACTCGTGTATTAGTTCATGTTTATATGTAAATCCCCTTTGTATTTATTGATTCAATAGTTTATCAAATAAACTATTGAATCAATAAAGGCAAAGGAGGTTTACA